TCAACCCTGAGAGCACAACAGAGAAAAACCGCAAGCCGCAGGACATCGATCGCAGAGTCACAGGACTGTTTCAAGCGCACAGCAGAACTTCCCCAAAAGTACAAAGATGGCTATTTTGAAATCCCATACACATGAAGATGGCTATTTTGAAATCCCACACATATCAGAGACGACGGGCTCTTTTACTAAGTACCGTCGGACGCGGTCGGCGACGCAATCAGTCCACCGGTCACACACGGCCCTGCTGTGCCGGCCACAGGAAGCGGCGGCGGAGCCGCGGCGCCCGGCTGAGCTCTGTCTGCAACGCGGCGGACTTCCAGCCGAATCACAGCACCCTCTTGAATAAATGGCCATTTGATAAACAGCGGACAGGCAGAGCCCGCTGGCTACTAAAAGGCCGTGGCCACTTCGGTCCCGTGACGGCCTCCGACGTTGACACAGTCTCGGGGAAACTTGTCCAGCTGTTCGTAGGCCAGCCGCCCGTCTTCTCCTGGATCACAAGGTGAAAAACGAACACCAGGGTCAACGCTTCCACGCATCACCCGGGAAAACGAATTAATACGTCGCTTAGGCATCGGCTGCTGTTTCGGGCTCATGGGAACGTGAGGTAAGGGAAAGCTACCTTCTGCTATTGTTAATTATATTGTGTCTAGGTGGTGTCTGGAGCTTTGAGCTAAGGCGGGAGGCGGGGAGAATGCCGGGCCGGGAAACAGAGAGGTCCTGCGGGCAGGTGGTGTCCGTGATTTCACTGATCTGATTCCTGTTTCAGGCGGGTTACAGATTTCAGCATGGTGGTGGGTCCCTGACTTTGGTGCATGAAAGTTTTACGTAACTTTTATTATTTTTTATTTAAATATTTTTATTTGATTTCAAATTGATTTTTACAACTCTTTTTTAATTGCTTTTTAGAGAGAGAGGAAGAGAGAGGGAAACACTGACTGGCTGCCTCCTGCACGCCCCCTCCTGGGGACTCAACCCGCAACCCGGGCCTGTGCTGGGATTGAACCAGCGACCTTTTGGTGCACAGGACGATGCTCGAACGCCTGAGACACGCCGGCCAGAGCTTTTACTTTTGTTCATTGTACATTGGCACGTCTCGATGATCTTCATGAAAGTCAAATCTAGGCTTTCACGCTTCAGCCAAAACACTGCTGTGTGCCATGTGGACGTGGTGACATTCCCACCCAGTTTGTGGGTGGGACCGTCTTGAACAGCCAACGTGTATTTGCAAATTATTTGCCTATTTTATTCCATTTTTCCTCTTTTAAAAATATTATCAGAAAATGGGGAATGACATATAGATGACGGGCGATCAGAAGCTTTTGTTCCTTTAACACAGAGACTAAGGTGGAAATACCTGGCTGTGCTCAGTCGGGACTTCATTGTGAAGAAAAGCAAAATGCCGTATTAAGCCGTAACTGAGGAAAAACGCCAACAAGGCGGTGCTCACGGGGTGATCAATGCGGGGATCCTCCGTGACCTGGCTAAGCCACCAGAGTCGAACGAGGTGGCCTTTTTCTAACTGTTGTCATTCACCGATTACAGTTGAGGACGTCCAGGGGCACTGTTTTTACTCCTTGGGGGGGGTGCTGCAGCAGTGAAGGTATTTATCACAACTATTTATATTCTTTTTATGCGGAGTTTTAATGCCTCCGGAACCTCAGCCAATCACTGTCCTCCAGGCAGTGCCAACCCTGACCTGGCATCTCCACCTGGACTCCTGACTGTGGTTTGACTTCCAGGCTCTTGATTCAAAAATGCTGCCCAAGCTGCGGAGCCACCCAGAAGGGTCCCAGCCCTCAGCCCTCAGCATCCGGACGCTGGAACAGGAGCTGGCGAGACGTGGAGCCTGACCAGTGCGCGTGCTGGGTGTGAGCGTGAGCGTGTGCGTGTGAGTGTGCGCGTGAGTATGCGTGTGAGTGTGCGTGCGCGTGAGCGAATATGAGTGCGAACGTGGGGGACATCCCTACAACAGTTCACACAAAGCTCCTGACAGTTGCGTTTAAGAGTCAAAAGTAAACAACTGTGAAAACACTCACCCAGAGACAGGAGGGTCTCGGAGGCCACGGTTCTGATTTCTTCCACGTCGGACTGACACAGCGTCACCAGCATCTTGATGCTCTCGGTGGCCTACAGGGAGAGGGCGGTTCACCTCGGGTCTCCCATCCGTCCGGGGTTGCGGGGACGCAGCATCTCAGAGCCGGTGGGGCCTGCAGAGCCGCCTCTCCCCGGGCCCCACCCAGCGGAGTGTCTGGAGCTCGGATGGACCCCCGGGCGCCACTCTAGGAGCCGGAGTCAACTTCCCGGGGCGCAGGCCAGGCCTGTGCTCGCGGGAGCCCCGCTCAGCTAACCTCCCATTTCTCAGAGGACCTGGCCTAGGAAGGGGAGCGCCAGCCTGCTCCCCAAAAAGAATCCACTTCTCGTCGTTCTTTCCACCGTCTCTCTCTGCTTCCAGAGCAGCCCCCAGTACTCAGCTTCTGATTTAGCCAAACGAGAGGACAAGGTGAGGGACTGAATCCTCCTGCTCCTCCCTCGGCCACGGAGCTCTCTGCAGGCAGCACGCAGGCCGTGGCCGCAGGACTTTATGGTCGACGGGGGGACAGACTTAAACTGGCCCAGTGAGCACGACAGTGAGCGACAGGCTGAGCCTGGTCTGGTCGGGGAAGTCTTCCTGGAGGAAGGGCCAGGAAGTTAGTACTTGGAGTTAGTCCGTGGGCATGTGGGAGTGGAGGGGTGTGTGTGTTTGGGGGTGGGAAGGAAATAAATCCTCAGCAGGGGGAGCAGCTTGTGACAGAGCCAAGCCAAGGCCTTCGGAGGCCACGTGGAGAGTTTCGGGCTCATGCTCGGATCACGGAAGAGCCTGAGGCCGCAGTCGTGCTCCCAGACGTGGGGTACACCAGAGGTTAGAACCACAGCTTGCACTGTGACCACAGAGCAGACGGAGATCACTGCGTCCTGCCCCGATCCAGTGTCCCGGCCGCTGTCACTGACATGGCACTCAGGCCAGGAGGGCACCCGTTTAAAGAACCCAGGCTCCTGGCCAGGGAGAGGTAAATTTTGGACCAAGTAAGAAGGAAGCAAAGTTCCCAGAGCTGTTTCTCTTCACAGGTCGTCTGCTTTTTCTCTGGGGCGTTAAGCCCTTTCTCCCAGCCCCCTCCAGCCCCTCGGAGACTTCAGCCAGCCCCGGGCTGGGACCTTCCCTTTCTTTCCTCGGAGTGGCCAGTCCTATTGTTTGTGACCAAGGTCGGTGAAACATTAAATCTTGCCGACTGGAAGGTGAACTCGCTAACGTTGGGAACTCTCGGCTGTTTCACCCCCACGTCGGGTCCAGGAGCACCTCCCTCCGACACGGCTAAGCCCGAGCTGCTCAGCGAAAACCGGTCACGGTGAGCGAACGGTCTGGGATCGACCGACACATAAATTTTAGTTCTCTGCATAGTTTACGTGGCCCTGCTAAGTTTGGACACAAGGCTCCATGGTAATTCATCACGTCCCCCGTCTTTTGGGATAAGACACGCTTTCCTAGCGCTGACCCAGAGGCAAACGAAAACGTGACCGTTTTCCCAAACATACGGGCTTTAACCAAAGTCACGTTTAGTTACTGCTTAAAAGAAAGGACTGTGAGCGAATGTGCAGCACAGAGGAGATGAGCGACGCCACTAACCCAGGCAATGCGCACCCCCCCCCGAAGCTGTCCCTCCGCAGGCTCAGTCCCGTGCCCGAGACACGCAGCGCAGGGCTCAGGCCCCGGCGGCCTCACCTGCAGACTCTGAAGCGCCAGGCAGGCCGCCTTCTGCAGCTGCAGGTCGCTGGCCGACAGGGCTTCACAGTAGTAGAGCAAGGCCTGGCGGGAGGAAGGGCAGTGTGAGCGCACTGGGCTTCGCAGGGCTCAGGGGAACGTGTCGGTTTTAGTTTCACTGCCTGAGACAGACTGGCAGTAAAACAAGACATTTTACGTTGGCTTCAGAGCCAAAAAGTCCATTGAAATTCATGTTTACTAAAGAGCTGGCTTTTTTTTATTATTAAATAGACTGATCCTTTATCTTGTGCCAGGTCATGGGCTCTGAGGACTATAAAGTTGAAAGATGCAAAGTTATGAGTCCAGTTTTCAGGGGACGTAGAGAGCAAGGAATGGGGGCTGGGAGGGGAGAGACAGGGAGACACGGCTTGTCTCCCGTATGCGCCCCGACCCGGAAACGGTCCCTCAGCCTTTGGGTGGATGATCCCATCCAACCAACCGAGCCACACGGCCAGGGTGCAAAGTATTTTTATAGAAGAAAAACGGCGAAATCGTAACAGAAGGCGACAGGAAAGGAAGCGGCTTCGGGCTGGAGGCCCCGACTCCGCAGCCTACCTTCTCCCTGAAATGCTGGTTTCCGGAGGCGGCCTCCAGGTAGAGCCTCACGGCCCGGCCGACGCCCCTGTCGCCCCCGGTCAGGAGCAGAGCCAGCGTCCGGAGCACCTCCTGCTGGGCCGGCAGGCCGCTGACCACCTGGAGCAGCTGCTCCTCTCGCAGGGACTGCAGTGCCTGCACCACGGAGACTGGAGAGGACGCCGCAGGGTGAGGGGCGCGTTGCAACAGGTGCACCCACAGCCACAGACCCGAGCGTCGTGAGCAGCCCGCCTGGGATCCCGGGAGGTTTCCAGCGAGTGGGAACGGGACAGGTGATCGCAATAACGGAATTAAGGCAAATGTCCCAGGAGGGAGGGAGCGTGGCCTTCAGAGCATAATGGCTGTGAAAATAACTTTCGGGTGAACTAAACGCTCAACTGTGAAAATGCGCAGTGAAGGGCTTTCAGGCCAACGCTCCTTACAGCAAACTTGCCTTCTCGCCCCTCCACCTGGCAAAGCCCTAACCTGGAGGGACCCACCTTTGCCTCCTCCCTGTTGGACTCAGGCAACTGGGCCCCGGTGGGAGCCAGGTAGCTGGTTAGAATATGAAGACATATGATAAAAATAAAAATAAAAGGATAGGATTTAGCCCTGGCCGGTTTTGCTAAGTGGTTAGGGCGTCGGCCTGCGGACCAAAGGGTTTCAGGTTTGATTTCTGGTCAAGGGCACACACCTGAGCTGTGGGTCAATCCAGTTTGATCCCCGGCACATGTGGGAGGCAACCAATTGAGTCTCTCACGTTGATGTTTCTCTCTCCTCCCTCCCTCCCTCCCTCCCACTCTCCCTAAATATCAATGGAGAAAATATCCTCAGGTGGGAATTAAAGAAAAAAAAGGATTCTGAGTCTCATTTGGACAAAGTGACCATGTCCCAGGACTGAGGAAGGGGCTAATCCCTGCCTACACGTCCAGCACGGGCCCCGTTAGCCCCAGAAACATCAGGGTAAGTGTGTGTGGCCAGTGCAGGCAGGAAACAGGAGCTAAATTCCTGCCCCATCGACGGAGCCGCGTCCTTCACACAGTGGACACTAGCAACTACGCCGGAGGAAGGCCGGGGCCACTCAGTAAGAGTCCTTGACACCGTGCGGCCAGGGAGCAGGCCCACCTTGCTTGGCCAGCTGGCGCAGGTAGCTCTCCAGGTCGCTCACTCCGTGGCTGGCGAAGTAGCTGTGATACTGAAAGACGGTGACCACCTCCGAGGAGAGGCTGGAGGGCAGCAGGGGCTCCGGCCGGTCCAGGATCTGGGACACCAGGGTCCGGAACACTGTTGGGGAAGAGAAGATTCGAGGCTGCTTTTAAGAAACATGACCACTCATTCATTCATTTTTTTTATTGTGCTAGGTCTGTTTCCTTAGGTCTCTCTTTTTTTTTTAATCTTCACTTGAGGATACTTTTTTCATTGCTTTTCAGAGAGTGGGAGGGAGAGACACATCGACTGGTTGCCTCCTGCATGCGCCCCAACCAGGGCTGGGGATCGAGCCTGCAACCGAGGAAATGCCCTTGGCCAGAATCAAACCCGGACCCTTCAGCCCACAGTCTGAGGCTCTAACCATGGAGCCAAACCGGCCAGGGCTGTTTTCTTAGGTCTGAGCGGATGATGCTTTCTCTGGAGGGGAAGCCTGGCGTCGGGGCCCACTGCCGGGGACACGCCGGGGACCCCGAGACAGAGCCCGCCTCCCCCCGCTGTGCTCACCCGGGTCGGCCAGCCCTGGGTAGTCTGTGTTGACGGCTCTGGCGAAGGTGGCCTCCAGCTGCTTGACCACCCTGTCTGCCAAGCTGTGGTACACGCCCGCCGGGCCGCAGCACTTGGTCCAGAAGGACAGCAGGGACAGCTGCTTGTGGAATTCTGGGATGGCTGGGAGGAAGGGCAGCCCCGTGAGGCCCAGGAGATGGACGGGGTGGGGCGGGGCTTGGACCCGGGGCCCCTGCAGGAGAGGTGGGTGGGGTGACTCTGAGGCTGAAGCGGGTGCTGTGAGATCACACGGCTCTGGGGACAGTGTGAGTGCTTTTTATTCAAAAAAATATGTTTTTATTGACTTTAGAGAAGAAGGGAGAGGGAGAGATGGAAACATCAATGATGAGAGTCATTGACCGGCTGCCTCCTGCACGCCCCCAGCTGGGGATCGAGCCTGCAACCCGGGCACGTGCCCCGACCGGGAATCGAACCCCGATCTCCTGGTGCCTGGACGACCCTCAGCACCGAGCCACGCGGGAGGGCTGTGCACGCTTCCCGCCTCCTGTCCTGACGGGGCAGCGAGCAGACTGGGGCGGGGCGGGGGTGTCACTGCCGCCTGGAACAGCGTGGTCCTCGGGGGGACTCACCGTCCACGACAGAGCTGATGTTCCCCATGTTCTCCTCACTCACGGCCGCCAGCTTCTCCACCACCTGGGTTTGCCTGGACAGCTTCTCAAGGAGGCTTCTCGCCACAAAGGGGGTTTTGCTCGAGAAGACGATTTGCTGACAAAAACAAGAGCCCCGTCTCCGTTAGGGGGTCCACGGCGCTCCCTTCCCGGCCCTTCCTGACCGGCCCAGCCCCGAAACCACTGCTCCTTTGCTTTCACTCCGTCTGTTCCCCACACCTCTCGGCTGGAGGCCGAGCAGGACGGAGGGAGGACCAGCCCTGGGGCCGGGGGGCCNTGCAACAAGAGTTTCAGACTGCGCTTTGCACTGCTGCGGCCTCGAGGGAAACAGCTTCGTGGGAGAAGGAAGCCGCGCGGTGCCCCAGGGCGACAGCCGGGGGATGTGAGGGCCTGTGACTGCTCCCTCCCCTTGCTAACGAGCACTCGGCCAAGCACTCGGCCAAGATCTGCAGCATTTGGCTTTTAGCTCCCCAGGTGGTGGGGAACTGCTGGGACGCGTTCATATCCGGGTATGTTCAATAACACTGGCTTCCTTTTTTTAAAAATTTTTTTGAATCCTGACCCAAGGATATTTTTTTCCATTGATTTTTTTTTTTTTGGGAAAGTGCGGGGGGAGGGAGAGAGAGAGAAACATCGATGTGAGAGACACGTCGATGGTCTGCCTCCCACACTCGCCCTGACCAGGGCCAGGGATCAAACCTGCAGCCCAGGGGCATGCTCTTGACCGGGCATCAAGCCCTCGACCCTTTGGCCGGAGGGTGGACGCTGTAACCACTGAGCAAACCCAGCCAGGGCAACACCGGCTTTCAAAGTCCATTTGTAGATGCGGAAAGCGAATTCCTCCTTTTTCTTAATCACATTGTTCCATCTGTTATCAGAGGATGTGAAGGGGAGAGCCAACCATATTTCCCTGCCAGCGCCTGGGGTCTGAAGGTCTGGGTTTTACGGCAGGAAACCCGGGTGTCGGGAGGATGGGCGCGACACTGGGGTTTTTGCCGTGGCTCAAAGGAAAGCAGGACTGTTCTCATCTCCCTGGAAAAACTAAAAAAAAAAAAAAAAAAAGGCCCTNAAAAAAAAGGCCCACTCTCCGGGGCGTCAACCGCCCAGGCGCTAAACCGCGACGTGGGCAGCGGCCCCACCTGCACGAGCTGGGTGCACTGCTGGAGGTGCCTGACGATCGCGATGTCCAGGCTCTCGTTCCCCGTGGTCAGCGGGAGGGGGCTGCCCGCCACGCTCGTCCCCACGCCCGTGTCCTCCGTCAGCGCCTCGCTCAGGTGCGCCCTGGCCTCCGGGTGAGCCGACCGGTAACTGTGGAAGCAGGAAGGGGAGCGACAGGTGAGCCACGGGCCAACGCGACACGGCTCCCATCAGGTCCCCAGCAGGGCCACCTGCCCGGGAATCCCGCTGCCTCTCAACAACGCCGTCTCAGCTCGGCCCGGCTGCCGGTTTGCCTGATGTTAAATAAATCAGGCAAAAAAAAAAAAAATTGCTTCCAGGGTTCTCAGCACAAGAACCACGTGCCAAGGGTGTCGCTAAAAAGTCTCTGAAACTGTCAACGGGGGACCTGCCCAGCGCCCCAGGATTAAACTGTCCTTGTGTTCGTGGCCTCCCAGGAGCAGTGCCGCTAAGGAATAACCTGCCGAGGCGGTTTCCTGGCCTCCGTCAGGTCCTACTTGAAGAAAGGAGGGAGGGAAGCTGCCAACGAGACACAAAATTCCACTCGGGACAAAAGCGCGGCCGGCGCTGGGCTCGCTGCAGGCGCAGCTTCCTGCGCCTCCAGGCTTTGCTGAAGCCTCTTGGCTGAACCGGCACTTGCATTGAAAAATAAATCTGTTGTATTTAGTATTTAATTCTAAATATGTTTTTTTTAATTGATTTCAGAGAGAGGAAAGGAGAGGGAGAGACAGAAACATCAATGATGGGAGTCATGGATCGGCCGCCTCCCGCACGCCCCCGATGGGGATCGAGCTCGAAACCCGGGCAAGTGCCCTGACCGGGAATCCAACCCTGACCTCCCGGTTCATAGGTGACGCTCAACTGCTGAGCCACGCTGGCCGGGCTGTTATTTTATTCTAGAATGAATCTGGGTGCGAGGAGGCCAGAGATGCTGCACCAGGGCCAGCCGCCCTGCCTCGGGGTCTAGGGAGCTGTGTGCCGGGGCTCAGGCCCGGCTTTGACACGGGGACTGACCAGCTCGATCCCCGCAGAGACCCACTGGGCTGCGGAGACGGCCACGCGCCTCGCAGGGAGGTCTGCGGAGAAACCGGCGCACGCCGAGGCCTACCTGTGTTTCTCCGTCTCCGTGTCTGAAAACACCGAGTCGGCGCCGCCTCCCGCGGGGCCACCCTCCTCCGGGTCGTCCTCATCGAAGTCGGACGTGTTCAGGAAGTCAAAGCTCTCGAGAGCGCTCTCCACCGTCAGACTCAGGCTGGAGGGCGAGCTGCGGCTTCCCGAGGGCTTGCACTGCGAAGGCAGAGGCACCGGACAGGTCAGCGCCCCAGGGGGCACGCCACCATCCCCGGGGGGGGACACGGTCGACAGCTCCGAGGACATGGGACACGGCACCCGCTCCCACCAACAGGAACAGGCCACACTGTCTTTGTTTCCAGCTTTCGTTTTATTTTATTTTATTTTATTGGCATTAAAAAACAAATACATTAAAAATCTTCGTATTAAAAAAAGAAGAACCACCATGAATCCAATGGCACAATGTCTGGGATTTGTTCCTAAATACTGTAGAGAGAAGCAGGCAGGTCGGAGGACCGGCGACACCACAGGCCGAGGCGAGCGTGGCGGAAGCCGGCGGGGGCACCTGGGATCCGTTACATATTCTCTCTAGTTCTGTTTGAAATTTTTATAATAAAAAGTTAAAAAACATAGATTACAATCTTGGGAAAGAGCTGCCGTGTCCTTCTGCCTGGAGCTCAGCCCTGAGTAAAATACAACCCGGTGCGAACGGCGAGAGCCGCGGACCCGGGGACCGGGTGCGGGACAGGAACAGTCTCCAGGTGCCCGCGGCGGCGGCTTCCCGAGTCAGGAGCTCCAGGCTGGCCCGGCTCTGAGCGCGGCTCCCTCGCTCAGCCTCGCTCGCGGGCCAGTCGCCCTGAAGATCCACCTGCATTCACAGCGTGCGACTTTCCTCGCGCGTGGAGGAGGAATGGACGGCGGACACCGTGAGCGGCAGAGCCGCTTCCTGGGCAGCCCAGCCCGTGAAGGGACTCGTCCCGTCACCTCCCTGACCCGGCCTGGAAAACCCTACGGTGCTGGACGGACACACGGGCATCAGACAGATAACGGCCACTGCTCCGGGCAGGGGGCGGAGAGGTGCTTCCTGATATTCAGGGGTTCTCAAGTCCTGCGGTCGGCGGCCCCCTGGCCGACTTCGTGACAGGGCAGCAGGGCCCTGCGGCGCCCGCCTGACGCCCGAGGGCAGGGGCACACGTGCTTTACAGCAGAGCTGCTCCTTCACCCTCAGTGGTCTCCGGGGGCAGCATCGAGCTCCTCACCGTGTCAAGCATCCTAGGAACGTGAAGGGAAAAGAGAGCTTCGTCCAGCCGATGCCTGAGCTCTGGCTGGACACAGAGCCCTCGCCCCAGACCTCAGCTTGGACGCCCTGTGCAGCCTCCGGGGCCGAGAAGGAGCCACTGCCCACGACCGGTCGTCTTCCCTACGCTTGGCGTCTGCAGAACTTGATCAGGAGCCTCGCGTGGGTGCGTTTAAATACCCATCACGACCAGGCAGGCCGCAGGGTGGTCTGGGAACAACAGCAGACTGAGGTGACACTGGAGGGAAACCGTGACCACCAGGCTATTCTAAGACTGAGGGGTGACTCGCTGTTTGCTGGTGGCTTGAACTGCTTAGCACCCTGGGTGCCTGGAAATAGGGGCTGTCATCACCGCCCCCGTTCCTTCCTTCCTTCCTTCCTTCCTTCCTTCCTTCCTTCCTTCCTTCCTTCCTTCCTTCCTTCCTTTCCTCTTTTTAAGATTTTAAAAGTTCATTTTGAGAGAGAAAAATCAATCAGCTGCCTCCTGCACGCCCCCCACTGGGGATGGATGGAGCCCGAAACCCAGGCATGTGCCCCAACCAGGAATCGAACCCTCGACCCTTCAGTTCGCAGGCCGACGTTCTAACCGCTGAGCCACACAGGCCAGGGCACCGCTGTGGTTCTTTACAGCACTGGCTGTAGGTGGGGTCAAGGGCGTCTTAGCTCTTTAAATTGAAGGCTGTTGCCCACTGAGCAGAGGTGGTCAGCGGTGCGGATGGAGCTTGCGGGGGGACAGAAGATGCTGTCGCCAGGATTCGGGACAAGCAGCCCCGTGCACAAGCCGTGAGCCGATGTGTTTGGCAGAGAGCAGATTCGGAGCAGCTGCCCGCGGGGGCATCAGTCCGTCGTGAGCCGCAGAGGACGTGGGCAGGGAGACCAGGAATGATCACCTGCCCTGGGCACGGCCCCCTCCCAGGGCCAGGTCGGCGTGGCCAAGGTCAGAAAAGCCTCGGAAATGTCCCTCGGATGGAGCCGGGGAGGCCGCGTTTCAGGACGGGCACCTTATTTTCAAGAACAGATCCCCAAAGAATGGCTCTTTCAAGAAAAAGGGCCCCAGCTCTCTTCTCTATGGTGACATAAGTCTGAGTGAACAGGCAGAGAACACGAAGAGTGGCCGTGGGATCTGGGACGGAAATTCCCAGTCTGTCCTCTTGGGCAGTGTGTTATTTAAACCTGTGGGAGGAGATGCCGGGGGCCCGCTCATCCGGGCCGCTGGCTCTGACTTCAACCCGGCTCGAGTTCCCCGGCATCCGCTGGAGGGACGCTCTCCAGTCACCTCTCAGTGAGATTATGGTGGTCCCAGTGCCACCATGTCACACTTGGGATTAAGAACTTTGGGACCAAATAAGCTTTGACACCCTGTAGAACAGGGAGGGGGCACATCCGGCCCGTGGGCCGTCTGGTCCTGCCAAGGCAACCGCAGGAGGGACTTGAAAGTCAATAAATACAGGAGCTTTTTTCAAAGCTAATTTGCACGTTGATAATTCTATATGGCCGGAGAATGATGCTTTAAATATCCAAAGGGCCCTGGGCAGAAAAGAGGTTCCCCGCCCCTGCTTTACAGCAGTTAATTTAACGACCAATCATGTTAGTTAAGCTCATCTGTCGGCAGGAAAATAGAAATGGCCACTCGCTGCTGGTGATAAAAATCAATGCCACTTAAGTGGTGATTGTGTATTGATCTGTGATGATAAAGACACACTATTGTAAACAGAATGTCGGCCTAGAGGACCTCTCTCCAACCCCCCCCAGTGTCCCTGACGAGGACTTACTTTGAGAATGTCGTCCAAATGCATGACCTCCTGGTTCAGATCCTGAAACTCCTGGTACTGCTCTTTATGAGGCTCCAGCGCAAGGAAGAGCCCGTGGAACGCGTCCTCCAGGCCGCCGTCCAGGAAGGACCGGCAGCCTTCCGACTCTCCGCTGACCGAGCCCTCGGACAGCAGCCTCTCCGTGGTGGCCGGCACCTCGGCCGAGGTCAGCCTCTTGACCAGCTGCTTCGTGATGTTGCCTTCGAAGGTGTCCAGCTCCACGGGCTTGAGCTCCGAGGCCTCGTCTGACTCCCGCAGAAGAGCCTCCGCCACGTCCTTCTCGAGGTACAGGCGCCCGGCCCCGGCCCCTTCGGGCACTCGGCGGGCTTCGGCCTCGGCTCCCTGGGGCCCCTCGGCGTCTTCCTCCTCCAGGGGCGGCTTGGGCCCCGGGCCACCGGCTGAGGAGCTTCCGGAAGATGCTGAGCTGGAGTCATCTGTGCCCTCGCTCTGGCAGCCCAGGCCGCCCTGGGGCAGCTCCGCGGGGGTGATGGTGATTTCGGGGTTGGCCGGGCACGTGCTGGGGAGGGAGCTGGCTGGGCTGGAGGGGAGGGCACAGTCCCCGTTGGGCAGGTCGCTGAAGCTGAGCGACAGTGGCATTTTCTCCTCGGAGGCCTTTCTGTTCTCAAAGATGTCATCGGGGAGATGGGACTGCGGGAGAGAGGGGTCCTGTTATTATTCTAAATGCAGATGAGGCGTCTGGCACCTGGTTTCCAGATAAACAATAAGGCAATTTAAAAAAAAAGCCCAGAACTTCCGCCCGGACGGTGTTGCTCAGCAGACTGAGTTTTGTCCATGCACCCAGAGGTCACCGGTTTGATTCCCAGTCAGGGCTCACGCCCGGGGTTCTGGCTCCATCTCCAGTGGGGGGGACTGATGTTGATGTTTCTCTCTCTCTCCCTCTCCCGTCCTCTCTCTAAAAGTCAATAAAAACATTAAAAACCCCACAAAACCAGAACTTACATTGTAGTAGCATTTTATTTGCTGGTTTTGTGTGTGCGTCTGGCAGAAGAAAACAAGCCTCTAAAAGCCTCTCTTTCCATGCCGATTAGGTGAAAGCTCGGGGAAGTATTCAGATTTTTTCCAAAGGAAAGGCTGGGGCCTGGAAAGGAGCCTGTTCCCTGAATCCCAGGGCCTCACACTACTTGGCAGCCACGGCTACAGGTAACAGCACCAGCTTTTCCTCTGTTGGCATCTAGCTTAAGACTGACCTTCATGCTGTTTCACTCAAAAGATGTGGTGCTTTGTTCTCCAGTTTTTATGAATTATTGTTTGAAAATCTCTACCCACAAGTCCCAAGCTCTTGAAATGTTGCACTGATTTTGTGACCACACCACAGACAACCCGAGGCCAGAAGTACAGCTGGGTCGCGTGTACCGGAAAAGGAAACTGATCCACCGGACCCCTGCCTTCCAGGACCGCGAACCCCGGCATGTGGGGGCGTCTGGACCCGAGGCGGCGGTCACGCAGCCCCGGGTGGGTCGGGCGCTGTGGCGGGTGGGGGGGACGGGCAGGGCTGGAAGACAGGGGTCGGGGTACCCAGGCAGCCCAGACGGGCCCCTCCTACATGCTGCACAGGCCCCTGCTGGCGGCTGGGGGCCAAGTGCCCAGTGCTGCTCCGGGGAAACAGTTCTCCGGCCGCCCGAGGCCAACTCCTTCACCACGGACACTCCCCCTTGGATTCCAGATCTGATGTTTCAGGTAAATGTGCACTTTCATTACTGACGAAGCACCAACTATCACAGGGCAGGAGAGGGACGTGTGTTATCACAGCTGTGATGCAGGGAGGTGGGACCAGCCAGGGGCACCTCCTGGGGAAGAAAGAGGGGGCCCTGGGCCCAGCCTGGGAGGGTAGGAGGGGAGCGTAGGGGAGGAGGAGCTGTGGGTGTGAGTGTGAGTGTGAGTGTGTGTGTGTGAGTGTGTGTGTGTGTGAGTGTGTGTGAGTGTGTGTGAGTGTGTGTGAGTGTGTGTGTGTGAGTGTGAGTGTGTGAGTGTGAGTGTGTGAGTGTGTGTGTGAGTGTGTGTGAGTGGGTGTGTGAGTGTGTGAGTGTGAGTGTGAGTGTGTGAGTGTGAGTGTGTGTGTGTGTGAGTGTGTGTGTGTGTGCATCTCCTGTGATATACTGTGCACCACACACAGCGCACGTTACCTATCACATTCCTGTGAATCAGTTTCTTTACCAGTCGGTACAAACAGCACAGTAAACCAGACTAAGAACCTCTCTGACTGGAACGGCTCCAGTGACAGGTTTAAATCCCGGCGTCCGTCCCTGACAACCTCGTGTACCTTGGGACATAAGATCTTCTTTGGCCTCGGGTGTCACGGCCTTGATTTTATAAATGAAAACCTGTCACCATGGATATCTTTGCAGCGGAGAAAAGCACAGCACAAAGGCAGGGGATTAGACGGACAGACAGACGGCCTCTCAGCCAGGCCGCACGCAGGCCCGAGTCCCCGCCAGGGACGGGCCAGCGGCCACCGGTGAGAGAGAGCGGGGTAAACAGGAGACACAGCAGACCCGCGGCCGCCAGCCCGAGCACACTCACATAGGACTCGCGCGCGGCCGGGGGCCTCAGCCCGAGCGAGGGCAGGTCGCAGACAGAGCGGCTGCGGTGCAGCTTGGCCAAGAGCGTGTCGTGCAAGGCAGTCAGGACCGACAGCCGCCGGCGCTTGTCCGGGGACGGCTGCAGCCACCTCTTCCGAAGCCAGAGCGAGACAGACAGACGGGAGGGGACAGCGAGAGCACCAGGTCACCGGGTTAGCGTCTCGGCAAGCGCGTCGGATTAAAACACCCGCCTCTAGGAAATGCTGACCTCAGAGGGGCCTGGGGACGTCTGCAGTGTTATCAAAGCAGCAGGCGGGCGGGGAGGGGCAGGGAACACAGGGGCTCCCGGCCGTGTGCACAGGGCAGAGGCCCGGGGGGTCCCCGCGGCGGCACGGGGTGACTGTCACCGAGACGCCCTAACGCAGCCGGTCAAGCTTTTCAAACACAGGGCAAGCGCGGCCTCAGGCCCGCGTCTCAACCCCAGGACCACCCTGAACTTACGAAGAAGGCGTGATCCTTGAAGGTGGGCGTCTCCGGGGTGCCCTGGCTGTAGATGGACATCCGCCTCTGCAGGGCGGCCGCCTTGTTCCCGGTGCCCGAGGATGGGGTCACGTCCTCCACGTCGAAGGGGCTGGAAAACAGCAGGTCCCAGTGAAGGCCGTTGTCACAGTCGCCCGCGTGGTGACCGCAGGCCGGGGGACCTCACTTCACTCGGGTAAATTCTAACCAGCTGGGCTGGGCCAAGTGGTTTGTCAGAAAATAAGCCAAGATGAAAGGAAGGAGAGCAGGAAATTGAGTCTCAGACCCACCCAAGGGACCACCGAATATCATCCGGGCTTCAGGTACAATTTACCTGGACACCTACAGTTTACCTGGGTACCTACAGCTTCCCTGGACACTCTTTCTCATTAATATTAGAAATATAAACATGTGAGCACTTGCCCCAACACAGACGCTGAAGAAATCTGTAAAAATACTTGGAGTTTTGCAGGGACAGACACTTGAACAACACGGATTGTTAACAACAGATTATTGTTCGGTTCTAAAGAAAACAACTATAGAGTCTCGTGCGTTTCACTTGACACGAGCCTCTTGCGTGACCGAGGGAATAACTGTCCACAGTGATGTCACCTATCACGTCCCGGGTCAGCCAGCAGGGGAGGGGCCTGTGTCTGAGACGCCCCCCACTGCAAATTAAGGGGAAGGCTGAGGTCACAGGTGAGCCCCGTTTCAGTGGCCAGGCAGCAGGTCTCCGCTGCCCCCCACCCCGACCTCCGTATTGTCAAGGAGACGCTGAGCGTCGCCCCCCCACGTGGGACGGCCCGTGACACACCCGGGTGCAGCATCACATGCGAGCCACAGCGCTGAACCAGGCATGGGGATGTTCCTCAGGGGTGACGTCAGAAAACCACTTTTAAGCTCGTGGATCTGACAAAAGGTGTCTCCTGTCCTTTGGGAAAGTTCTGTTTCAGTAAATAGAGGGTGGAGGGGTCAGGACACTGAAGATTTCCCGGAGCAGTGAAAGGTGCAGGAGATAAAGACAGAGAAGCAGCTAAAACTCCAGAGCGAGAATCAGGATCTTTCTCAGCCCAAACAGCCCACGTTGGACAGTTTCCTTCTAGATCAGCTCACTGGGGGGACATAGTTCCTAATCTGTTTACAGGTAGGAAAGGAGGAAGGAGGGATGACTATTATAAAATACACGTCGACAAGGACAGTGGTGACGACACAGAGGCTTGTCCACGCGTGGACGTCACCTGGAGAGCGCGTCGGACAGACCCTGGGGCCCCGGGAGGCGCCGACCCAGCCGGGCTGGGCTCCCACACCGAGGCCCCGGTGGTTCTGAGGGTCCACCACCACCTGTGACCTCACCGCCCGTCGCACCTATTTCCACGTGAGGAAACTGAAAAGGGTGACTTACTACCAGGCGATCTCCAGGTTCAGCTTGATGGTGCCGAGGTCATTGATGTCCACGGCCACCACCTGAGGTCGGGCTGCAAACAGGTCTTTGGTCTCGCAGGTCACGCTGCCCACCAGGAGGTGGGTTGCGAGCCCCTTGACCTCTGTGACCTAGGAAGGGAGGCAGAGGGAGGTGCTGGAGGACAGCGGAGGGGGCAGGTGGGAGGAAACGCCCGCCATTTATTTCTGCGTCGCAGCTGACGTCGGAGGGGTGGTCCCAGCCCACCTTGTGACCACCCCCGGGGACAGGGTGCCGCCTTCGCCACGGACTGTGGGGCAGGAGGAGCCTGGGCACCCAGCGTGGGGCACCCAGGGGTGGCGCCGGGAGACACCCCACCTTGATGGAGATGAGCCCGGCGATCAGGGGCAGGAACACCGCCTCCTCGCCGTCCCAGCTCTGCCTGCCGTTGACCTCGATCTTCCCCTTCAGCTTCCACCGCTGACGGCCGTACTTCATGAAAATCTGAGGGGACACCGACCGGCACGTGACCCCGGCCCTCACCTGCCTCCCCCCAAGTGGGCATCGTCGAAGGGCAGGAGCTGGAAGCAGCCACCGCCCTGCACCGCCCTGTCTGCAGGCCTGCTGGGCCCCGCAGCCGAGCGAGGGCGGGTGGGGGGACTGG